GGGAATCAGAACCGAGAGAAAGTGCTAGCGCCTACCAGGCCGCAGGGAGCGTGGTTTGCTGAAGTCTGGCATTGCATATGCATACAGACGTTGAATCATATTCACACGAATATATTATGGATATGTATATGTATGGGCAGAATGATTAACCGACATAGAAAAGGGAGAGGCGAATGGCCAGTTCTGACTAAATGCTTACTATCTATAACAAATCGAACACTAGGTACGATAGAATCGGCAAATCTAGATATAAAAAACCAGAAGAGAATAAAAAAACACACACGTGTGGTGAAATAGAAGGTGGGGTTAGGTATTGGTGGGGCAGCCTAGACACTAGGAAAAGGAAGTTTTTGGTTGCCTAAGAGACTGGAAAACGGTCCCATCCACTAATCTTGACGCAGCTGCGACTAGGAAGATCTAGGTGTGTGTGTTGTTCTCCCTTTCTATAGCATGATGAAGCCGGTGCCCATGAGAACAAACCTCGATATCCCGCAATGCTTATGGAACACTGGAAGAAACTGCAGACATTCTTCCAGGAGGACAAACTCGGCATGGAGATGGTGGAAACGAGGCAAAAAATGTGGGAACTCATGTGTAGCAGTAAGATGTCTACAGCGGCCCTCTGTTATTTTTAACATTCTCATTTTAGTTCAACAGCGTATGCGTGAGCAGTTGAAGTTGAATCTGAAGGAACTTCTGAAAGAAGAATAAATACACGGGAGACCCGCAGCTGGAAATCTTTCTCACTTTATTTTGAACTTCAGTCTCCTCCTCCGCCTCCCAGTCAGACAGCGAAGAAAAACAAATTAGCTTGATCTACAAACACCCAAGTCCACCTGGGCATACTGCCTTCCTAGCGTCCACTGACGGTGTACTGTTGTTCAACCCTGATTAAACTTCCCTAAAATCGCAACATCCATCTTATTCTTTTTACGCACCTCTTATCAAGCTCGAAGGGGGGGGGCGGGGGGAGGAGGTCACTGCGACTGCGGGCGACTGTGGGGTCTACTTTGAGTCAGAGAATACGAGGAAAGTATCAATATGAACTCTCGATCGCACAGTTATGCGTCAGCGGCCAATAAGTCAGTACATTACAGTTCAAACGATCAGCGGTGCAAAAGAGGCTCCAAAAACCCTGATAACGGGACACCCAACACCGATTCGCTTTAGCTCTCTTGCTCTCAGCATTTGACGTCTACTTCCTTAAAATTAAGGGGCTAGCTCAGAGGAATGCGTAAAACGAAAGTGGTCAGTACACCTACAATCAGGGCGTGAATCATTGCTCCACTGTCACTTCCGACAGTTTTTGCACTTGCCGTTAGCTAGCATTTTTATACTATCCAAGGACTGGGAAACAATGCACAGCGATAGCCTCCAAGTCTGCGGTTGCCTCCACGTACGTTTTGCCAGTACTCGCTACAGATTTTACTTAGGGGAAAATGCGCATCAAGTGTTCCCTTGTCTCTGAAAAATTATGTGACCTCACCCAGCAACGTGATCCACTTCTTCATAACATGATCCACTTGAGAGAGAGGGAAACATGCGTTCCTCTGTCGAGGGCTTAATACTTAACCTCCTGTCGGTAACGGGGGAATTCCTGCACTTACTGCTGGTGCTGCATATCATCATCCGCCCCTAGAAAAAGAAACAGCGTACAGAGTGAGGGTGATCAGAACGACCAGGGTAGTAATCAGGCTCCTACACACTGTACCTTTGCACATCACATGCTGCTGCTTATGTTTCGCGCCTGGCGGGTGTCTAGAAGCACAAACATGATATGACCAAAAAGGTAGACAGTCAACCGGAAGGACCGCAGGCCAGCGACATAGCTGATCAAAACTATCGTGATCAGTTTGTCAGTCTGGAAGGCAGGACGGATGCAACAAAAAGACATATAAGGGTCCGATTGACCCAATTGTGACAAATTTGCGGCCTCAAATTATTGAAAGCTGCCAAATCCCTAACAATCAGAGTTAGACTAGTAGTCCGTCCTCTGGATCCTAGATGATTACTCAGGAAATTCTGCCTGGCAGTCAGCTTTCTGCGTCCGTACTGATGGATTCCGTACGTGCAGTAAAGCTGGGCAAGCAAAGCGACCCAAGTGGGATAAAATTCAGGGCGCACTTTGAGCCTCGTAGCTCAATGGTAGAGCGTTGGCTGCGCAAAAGCCTTCCCTGCTGTGTGGGTTCGACCCCGGCCGAAGCCGCGAAGTTTTCACGATTGAGTCAATCAAATTACTGTAATCTGCCAAACTTCTAACATATAAGGGTGGCTACGTGGTCGAACAGAACTAAAGGCTCAGGCCTCTGACAGTTTCCACAAATATAGCTTTTGTCAGTAACAACATATCTGACACATGGGATTTAGGAACTAGAACCGTGTGCTTATGATAGCAGGACGGTGGACATGGGCGATGTAGCTGACAAGGTTCAATAGCGATGCTACGCTTACCGATCATCGCGGATGACGGCTCAGCCTCAGTGACTTCTGCTTTGATTAATTTATGCCGTAACAGTCACAGACAAAACCACCACGCTCTAACCCCCAGTACTTAGGCTGGATCGATAGCAGGACGGTGGACATGGTCATAGTATTTGAAAAGGTTCAACGGCGAGGCTACGAGCACAAAATTTGAACTAGCAGCACTTCATAGCATGGTAGGTGACTCAAATATCACGTAAGTAAGAATTTCCTAAAAGCGATGTTGAGGAGAACTCTCGGCGCCCTGAGTCTCAGTCCTAAAGGAGATCGAAATTCAAATTTAAATGAACAAACTAGTTCGAGGGGACTAATGCGGTTGGTGGGACAAGACGTTTATTGACCCAACTATTGGATTCTCGCTTGAATCTATCATCAGGGACAATCGTAGAAAGGGGGGCAAAAGAGGTATATGGAGCGCAGTAATTATAGGACGCAGTCGCCAGGCCATCATATGCCTTCACTAATGAACAAAACGCGTTGGAGTTCGTAATTAATGTGACGACACTCGTTGATAAACATTCACCCGACCGCTAAAGGAATTCATCTGTCCCGCTCTACCCATAGACGCGACAGAGGCTCTGACAGCCACAACAACAGACAGTATTGCCGGCAAAGATAAGGCATACTGGAATGACTAGTTCTGGCCTATTAGGCGCCGTCAGCCGGTCAGTGGCTTTGGCAACACTATCTGTCTATGCTGCCAGCTGCTACGACTGTCAAGGCCTCTCTCTCGAGGCACTAGGCATAGCGGGACAGATGAATCCCGTTAGCGGTCAGGTGAAGGTTCATCAAGGAGTGTCAATAGTCCCCGACCTAAACCAGCAAGACAACAAGCTGTGGCTCAATGGTTAGGGTGTTTGACTCTGATCAAAAGGTCGCGAGTTCAAGGCTCGAGTGAGACAACATATGTCAATACCGCCTGACCTAAATCGGCTAGACAGCGATCTCGTAGCTCAATGGTTAGGGCATCTGACTCTAGCCAAAATGGATGCGACGTTAAGGATTGAGTGGGGCACAACTTCGGTCTGGTTATGACTGGCTGACAACAGCCAATGAGCCAGAAATGGCCATTCCAGTCTCCCTTGTTTATGCCGGCAATAATATCTGCCTAATATAACTTTTTTCAACAAAAGCATAATTGGTACATATGATTTAGGCACTAGAACCATCTGCTTATGGTGTATAAAGAAGGTACCTTGTTGCAGGAGGTGAGATAATTTTGAATGCAGGAAAAGGCCACACTTTTGAGACTTCTTATGTTGAAGGTGATGAGGATACTGCTGAAGGTGAGGGTCATTAAAATGAGTATGTGTAGGGTGAGTAAGTCGATGCCGAGGCATAAAAACGCCTCTGTTCAGATACCTTCTGATTCAAAGCATCAGCTAACATTATTCAGTGTTGTGACACCACGTTAGGAGTTATCTAATCAATGTGTAGGACAAAGGGAAAAATTCCACTGGACCGTAGTCAAGAATTGAGAATTGCGGTCTCTAACCTTTTAAAATGTCATCCCATATGGTGGAATTGGGCTCAGGGGCTCACGTTTAAGGGATGCGTCAACAGCATCTTCCTTGACATCCTACTTACGATGGAGGAGGAGGAGGAGGAGGAAGGCAACAGCCAGCTGGCCTTCCTTGATGTCCCCTAAAAAACAACGCTCAATTCCACCTCGTGTGATGAAGGTTCAGCAAGTCGCGGCCCGCACGCCGGCAATCAAACAATTAGCCTCAACAGGTAAGCCTTTACTTTTCATGAGTGTGCAGCAGCATACTAACTGTACCATATAAATACTGCAACTCCCTGTTTCTGCTATTGTCTCTGATGATGGATGCGCGAGGGATATCGAAAGGTCAGGCGAATGAATTCTGGTGGGGCTGCCGAGTGGGGTCTTCGAAAGGTCTTTACGTATTATAGCCACCTACTTAATTTTTTTTTGGTAGGTTGAATTACCCATAATCTTCCAGTTTTCTACACACCATCCGTCGATCCAGCAGGGATTTGATGATGGCATTAAACTGCAGAGTGGTCCTCGGAAGGTCGCCGCATTCAAATGCCGCTTTAGTCAGTATATTAAGCAAAATTGGCCTATTAACTTAACCACGGGAATAATCGCTTACTTACAAATTTTAAGTAGGGTAATTTCCATAGTCTTCCCACTTTTTTACTGCGTTAACCTTTTTCTAGTTTGTGTTGGTGGTACCACTAGAAAATGTACCTCGATGCCCTTGCACGAGGTTGAGGCACACTCCCCCGACATACAC